TTTGTTTCCTTTTTGTTGAAGTTCCAAAAGTATCTATGTATAAATGGGTACGGTTTTGTTATTACTGCATAAGGGTTTGTGAACATCAGTTACGAGAGGATAGTGTTAACGCTAAACTGAAAAGTTAAGTTTTTCAATTGTAAGACCATCTGAAAACTCTTAATTGCAACACTATTTTTACAACTGCAGTTTCAAAGGAGCATAGTCAGACTCTCAGAATTCAATTAGCGTATGTTTGTCTCCTCCACAGCGATATACAGTCCCTCCTTATAACAATGCTGTGGCAGAGGCAGCTCTGACAATTCTAAATTATGCAACAATAAACACATTACAGAGCCGCCTTTGCATTATTCCACTGCCGGGTGATTGCAGCCCGCACCCCTTGAGGAGGGCTTCGTGTCGCTGAGCTCCTGAAAAAGCCGTCCCAAACCTGACCTGTAAAGCAAGGAGGGAAAAGTTGGTGTTGCTTCTCTGAAACCAGTGCCGGTGCACGAAGCAGAGACTTTAATACAAACTTTCAGTGGCAGCCTTTGAAATCCTTGAAAAAGAAGATGTCATACGTTAGCGATTATAGTGCCTTTTTTCTCTTGCAATTTTTCCTCTCTTATTGCAAAAGCACTTTGTCAGTCCTCTAATAAACAGTTCCATGTAAAGTAACCCCTCTACCTAAGCTAGGATGGCAGCGCGAAGAGAAAGTTTAACAAGGACAAAGCTGTAGCAGTATTTCTCGATGATTTTCAACAGTGTAATTTAGGAAGCCTGACCCCAAGCTTGGGTAGTTGAGGCTGCTGTAGGCTTTGAATTGCTGGAAGACACAGCTCCTTAGTCATTATCTGAACAAATTTCAAGTTACAAAAAAAAATCAAATCAAATCAAAAATGTATTTCAGGTGCAAAAGGTAAAAACTGCCTATTGTGAGAGAAGGCAGTTGTCTGCACCAGCTGACAACACAAACATAGGCTGCCAAATTGTCACTAATGGAGGAAAGAACTGCTTTAGAAATGTCAAGATTTTTTCCCGATTTAAAATTAGTAAATTCTGAAGAATCAAAATAACTGGAATTTGAGATGGAATCACTCTGTGACAGATGGTGCAATTATTTTTTTTTGTATATTGGAATTATACCTTCCTGCTAATAACGTATTCCCGATGGACCCTCTGCGCTGAGACGGTGCCCACCTCTAGAAGGACCCAGGGAAGTAATGCCTCCTCTGAAGGCATCCGCTCATCTCGCAGTCCTCCGACGTCATCGTTAACACCGCTCAGGTTTGAGTTTCTAAAACAGAGCAGCACGTGAAACCCGCTTTTCGGATGAGTTGGTCGGGCTTGGAGCTGTACCTGGTCCCGGTTCCTTAGTTCAGGTTGCGGGAATGGTTGTGCCTGCGCCTTTCTCGCGAACGTTCGCTGCGGTGGGCACCGGGGGTAAATTTAAGCTCATTCATTGAAACAGCGGCAGCTGCTTTGGGCCTGTCCTGCCTTTTGGGATGCAGGAAGCCATCCCTGGGAGCTGGCCGTGCGCTCTATGCGCTGACAGACCCTCGATACCGCATCAAAAAGATGCTTTTAAGTTGGGCTGTCGGTGCCGCTCGAGGTCTCTCTGATCCACCTCAGTCTGGTTTCTCTCGTCTGTCTTCGTTCCCTGTGTATTTTTAACTTTGTTCAAGACGTTGCTCGTTATGGCTGATTACACTATTTGCAAGTTTTTTGTCTCCGTTGCTGCCTGTGCCAGTAGTGCTTATGTAAAGGGGCTTGATGATACTGAATGGGAGGAATGAACAAATGCAGCGGGAATTCAATTGCTATTTTGCTCTCAAGCACAAGTGTTCTTTCTCAATCAAGTCTGACCACTTACTGCGTCAGTCAGCCACCGTGGTGGAGACACACAGAAACTATTTCATTTACATTTAAGGGGAAGTTTTCTTTGCTTGAGGTGCTTCATTTTACTTGAAAGTATTAGAATTGTATAAGATTTTCAAGTGCTCTGCATGCTTTAAAACAAACTTGGCGGTAGTTGATCTTTAGCTTGGCTGCAAAATCCTATGTATTGTATGTACCTGTCGAAAAACGGGCCAGCAGTACCCTATCCTCTCTACAGACAGGGAGTTTGAAGCTATTTGTCAAATATCACACAGGAGTTACTGATGATGGGTGCTTTCGGATGCTTTAAAAATTAAATTTCTTAATCACGCAACCATTTACCTCTGCTGTTACGTGCAATTTTAGAATTCATGCTACAGAGCACCTGAAAATCGATGACAATTTGAAATACCTCATTGTAATGTCATTTACAACTTGATTAATTAGTTGACATAGCTCTTAAATTTCAGATTCTAAGAGGTTTGTGAGCGTTTTCTAATAGTGACAGTGCTTCCCACGGGTGAAGTAAATCCTGGATTGCTGTGAATTTAGGGCCGTGTCCTGCAGCACTCCAGAGTCATCTCCGCTGCGGCCACATCCCTGCTTCGCTCGGATCTTCGCCGAATAGTTTGCTGGGAAGTTTGTGCGCTGCTCTGGCAGAGCAACCAATCCGCCGAAGCGAATAGCTTTCATTTGGCCGAGCACGCTGAAATGAAGTGTTGAGATTTGGAGACGCAGCAGTAGGATGGGATGCGGCAGCCAACAGTTGGATTGTCTTAAACTGCCAAAGACCCTCAGTCAGGGAAGCACACACGCTTCTTTCATAAAGGTTGGCAGTCCCGGTTGGGCAATTTCTAGAGAAGAATTGCCATCAGTGAGGTATTCAGAAGAAAAATGACTGTTCAAAAATGACTGTGCAAAAAAGCAAAATTTCATCGTACCATGGCGGGGACACTCAATTATAAACTTCTTTGCCTCTCTGTATTCAGACAGAGCGGGGTTTCTGTGCGCTTGATTCATCACACTTGGCTTGAGAGAGAGCACAACATCTCCAGATATCGGAGAGGCTGATTTTGTGGTGCTTCAATGTCGCTTTTATTCAGCCCCTACTCAATAGAGCTTTGTGTTCTTCTCGCTCCTAGAGATTCTAACTGCTGCTGCGGAGGCAGAAACGACGTGAAAATATGGACCATAAAAGATATTGGCAAACTGGTGTTTCTCAAAAATATGACCTGTGCTTAAAACAACAGCAAAATCTTTATTTGACTTTTAAATCATGGCATCTTGTTGTCTTTTGATATTTTTTTTTTTAAATTTTTTTTTTGAGCCTCTAAACAAAAGCATAATATACTCCAGCTCGCTGTGAACTAGGGATTTAAGGCATGGCAAATCTACAGGGAAAAAAACCCCACTCTGTCTTCAAAATAAAATCCCTTTCTGACAGGGCGTTATCGAGAGCCCAGCTGTTGGGTGGTAGCGCCGGGCAGAGAGGAGCTGTGCTGGAGACCGCAGCAAATGTGATTTGCTAAGAGAAAGGAGGGAGGAAAGAGCCTTGGCTAAGCTGGGTGCACGCTGCCCCACCTCGCCAAGGATCCGAAGACTTACTGCAGCTCCACCTCTTAACTTGTTGGTCTTGTCTACGAAGATGAGTGGAAAAGAAAGTTGTGGAGTATGACACTGATATTCCTGAAAGTTGGCAGGGTTTTCTATGTCTTGTTGATGCTTCATAGTCTTTCTCTCAACTTCAGTTTGTTTTTATCCAAATATATGCCGTTGCATCTGTTTACTTGGTCGTTCGGTGTTGGAAATGCCTCTCTTCTTGACAGCGCGCGGTTTTTTGTCCTTTGTAACTTGATTTGGAACTGGAGGGAGGAAGAGGCTATGTGCTTTGCAATGGGAACTTGCTTTTCGGTCCCAAAATTAATAACGGGATTGATGAAAAACACCATTCGAGTATATTGGCGTGTGGTTGATGGTTTGTGGGACAGTAATGTATTCTGTGTGGGAACATCTGTTGTCAGGGAATGGCTCGGGGAGGGGGAAAGCACACGAATAAGCTGCAGATACTGCTTCCAAATGCCTTGTATACAAATGCACAGGATAGTTTAGTTAAAGGGAGAATGGAATTTCCCCAGCTTATGGAGAAAAGTATATGGAGCAGCCCGGTCCAGCGGTGTTACTGAGCATCCGCCGGCTCGTGGTGGTGCTTTTAGAGCACGTTCACTGGGGGCTTTTGCAGGTTGCTCTGTCTCCAAAAGGACAGTACTCGGTGTTCATCTCGGTTCACTTCGTGCTATTTTTACAGCTTTCGGTGTTCAAATGGCTCAGAATAACATGCTTGTCATTCACCTGTCAACTAAGAAATGTAACTTACTTTAGACTTCCTTCCCCTGAGAGCAGCTCCGATATGAAGAATATCTTCAATTACCAAAAAATTCTGTGCTGTCCCCTTCCCGTGTGCTTTTGAAAGGCAGGTGTTTACAGAAGGTCCTCTGTTTCAAGATGCCCTAGTTAAGGATGCTGCTTTGCAGCAGGTCAAGGTTTCGGAGGAAAGTTTTAGCATCACGAGGTACGCTCTGTGCAACACCAGCAAAGCAGCTGCAGCTTTGCAACACCACTGCAGCGATTGCGTTGGTGAGTTGCTTGATGAGCCTCCGACTTGTCTTGTGTGCACACACAGCAAGAGGCAGAAATGTTTGAAGAAAAAGAGAGCGTCCCTGCACTTATGGACACCAGAAGACTGAATCCTCAGATGCACGGGAGCTGGATTGGTTTTTCGATTGTGTGATTGCCGCTGTCTCGCTCATGTGGGAATGGGCTTTAAGCTGTAACTTCAAGTGCTGCCGATGGTGCTCTTGTACCTTTTACTGGAGACACCTTAACTGAATCAGTGGTGGCAATGATCTGCCTGCCTTGTCTGAATGGCTGTAGTTTTACTATCTGATGTGTTCTGATTTTACGGCTAGAGAAGGAGCTGATGTCATCAGCGGTTTCAAAATTGGTTAGAACTGAATGCATGTGGATGCTTTATATTCCGTGATGGGTTACTGGTCAATGTTGGGGACAGGTAAAATGTTTCCTACAGAGGGAAATAAAATCCACTTCTAACAGTTGTGTTTTGTTTTCTCCCGCCTCTGACACAGGTTGCCAACTTGGCCTGTTCCATCTCAAACAACGAAGAAGGTGTGAAATTGGTTCGCATGTCCGCCAGCCAGCTTGAAGCCCTGTGTCCCCAGGTAAGGAAGAGCGTAAGAACATAAGACGTACCCTAATTAGTTGGGCAACTGGTCCTGCTTAGGCCCTGTTCTGGCCTCTTGGTGTCTGTCTGTGGACTTGCTGCAGAACTTGACTTTTCCTTAACGTATGTAGAGAATGAAATGCGGCGTAGGCATCAAGACTTAGAAACTTTAAAATACACGGCAAAGTAATTAGTGATACAAACGGGTCTTTTTTACATAATAGCTCCAATTTCATTTGGCCAGGATATTCTAGTAACCTGCGAGACAGTAAACTGGTGAAGCTTCCGTGGTTTACTGTGCGCATTCATGCTGTGGGATGATGTCTTGTGGGGACGCTATCGCTGCTCCTGTGCAAGCTGTAAGATGAATTATAGATATATTATTTTTTGCCCGAGCGGAATATAAATATGCCAAAAAAATCTTCTCGATAGGGTAGGATCAGAGGAAGCTGGCTCTGCATGAAGAGTTTGAACCTGGCTGAGACTACTTTTTAATTAATAACATTTTAATGGAAACAAGGAAATTAAGTTTATATAAGCATCTTCTTCCATTTTGACAGCCCTGATGTTTTAAATGTCAACAACTAGATACTTGGATGAACCCCTGAAGACTACAGTGCACTGTCAATTCTTGTAATTTGCATTTTTTTAAAAGCAACAGGAAATTCAGATCTAAAACATACAAATAAGCTGTTGTTGGTAATGAGGAGCTAACGGAAAATACGTACTCAAAAGAATGGTCAAATGGCATCTTATGAAAATAATGTGTATTCTCAGGATTATTTGGAATTTGTTCAGATTTTTCATTTATATTGGTCCTTTTAAAACCGGTTGAAAGGAAGAGAGATAAGTACCCTTGTACCCGCCTCAGCGGGAGGGGAATTTTGAGGGAATAGGTGAAGGTAGTGTGAAGAGCGGGACTGTCTGACCTTTGAAGTAACAGTGCTGCTAACCAGGTGAAGATAGGCACCTGAACATAAAACATTAAATACTGTCTGTGAGGCCTTTTGTCATCCCGGGGTGGACTTCTGTGGTTCCCGCTCCCAGATCAGCCCCTGGGGCTGGTGCGTGAGCTGCCTTGGCTGTGCAGTTCGTTGCCTCCCACGTGTTGCAAGCGGTGTGTACGGCGTGTTAAAACCAAAGGGCAATTTTTACGGTGGGAAGCGAGCATGTGGAAGAAAAAGCTTTTAAAAATACATCTTATCTGCTGTAAGGGCTTGCTCTTTCCTAAAGCAACCGACTAGGCTGGACGTAGTTTTTTCCTTTTTGTTATCCCCAAGAATATGGGCGTCTAATACACGGTGTTCCAAACAAATGCTGATGTTTTTGAAAATAACCATCTCGGGAAAGTTAGGTTTTCTTTGAATCTAAGTCTTTCTGGTAGTTGTCCAAGACTGTGGGGGTGTTTTTCCCCTTCCCATTGCTGAAATCGTGTGTATTTCAAACTCTTCTATCTTTGTTTTTCCAACAACTGCCTATTTAAATAAATCTACTCCTTTATGAAATAAACACCACGATAGTCAACATGAAATAATTAGCGAACGATAGTCAGTAGTCGCCAAACTGTAGTCACGTCTGAAGTGCGGTTGTTAACCTTTAACTCGAGGGATTATGGATAATACATTTATTACGCCTTAGAAGCTTTGATTATCTATAAATGGATGAGGGCTATAACTGATGGATTTTTGGCTTTGCAAAGGTCGCCTGTCTGAACTTGCGAGCCTTTTTTTCACTGCACAGTCATGCCTTAATTTCAGGGTCATCACCGCGAGGTTGGTAAATGACACTATAGATGTTCACAGCACTTGAAAAGAGTGCTTTTGTATTACATTACACGTTCTCTGGTTGATTCCTTAATGCTCTAGGAGTATTTAAACATGTTGTGAATCCTGAGAGATAATTGGGGCACCTGTCGAAACTGTTTTACAAATGGCATCTGTGTTTTCTCCTAACAATACAGAAGTTTGTCTTCTGCCAGTCTAAGTGATGCCGCAAACTATCATCCTCCTTAACTGCGTTACTGAACGGTCTGTATAATTCCTAAATGCTTCTAGATACAAAGAACAGCAGAGTGGGGTTTTGCTTCCTTTTTTTGGACAGTTACTTGTTTACTTAGCAGTTTATTCCTGATGAGAATTGCAGCTGCTTCTTGAATCCTTTTAGGTGGCTATGCTGAACAAACGGGTGAATTAGGCATAAAATACAGATTTAACCCAACATTATCTGCTTTTTTTTTTTTTTTTCTCAGATGATATTTTTACAGGAAGGTGCTGGATTCGGAATGAGTTAAGTCAATCAGTAATTACAATAGTCTCTGAAACTCAAGTGAATATATCAATATCACACAGAAATATGATGTATGAAATTTAATTCAAGGGATTGCTGTGGTTGAAAGGATGAAACTGAAATTTAATGCACTTGAGTAAGTCCCCAGGTAACCTCTTAAATAGCTTAGCTGAGTAGTGGCCATTCTGGGAGTAGGGAACTCCTGGTTAAAGAATGATTTCTGCAGAAATCAATCTGTGGAGTTAATTATAAAAGCTGTATCTCAACCAGAGCAGTTATTCGATCGGTTGCCATAACTGGCCTTTTGGAGCCGGCAGCGGGAGTAAGGACCGTGCAACACTTCAAACTGGTTGGGGAAACCTTGGAGGTTTTGTCGGTACGGACAAGAATTCATTCATTGCCAGTGTCACCCACGGGTTCAGATGTTCTCAGGTTTGAAATTCAATTCTTTGAGGAAACAGAAGATGTGGAAAAATTTTTATTTGAAAAGCCTCTACGAAAACAAGCAGTTAAATTTGTTTAGTGTGGCTGTGTTACTGAAAATCAGCTCTTCCTCAGGAGTAACATCATCCTTCCTGTTTGTGAGTCCCCAGCTAATTAACGCAGAAATTAATGCAAAGTTGAAGACTCAGTGTGATATTTAGAGCTCCTTTTGATGGTGCAGGAGGAACTGTTAGGAAGAGCTGTGCGTGCTCCGCAGTAGCCGGCCGGGTGCCTCGTGCTAGGCTGGGTTTGCAGGGGACAAATAAGGCAGCATTAGGGGATCACGGGTGGTTTTTTCTCCATCAAGCCTTGACTTACATGCTGCCCGAATTCTTTTTTTTGAGGAAATGTGTTGCTGAAAGTCTGTATATTGAAATGAAACAGCTTTGTCCAGCATCTCGCAGCAGTTACCTGCGGTCCGGCAGCTTCATGCTTTGCTAGGTGGTGGGGGAAGCGCATCTATAGTGGCTTAAGATGAAAGAACAAAAGTCATCCGTCACTACAGTTAAATGTGTTTGTTTGTGGGGTTTTTTTTAAATAAAATGATTAAGGTGTCTTTCATAATGGAAATGGAAGCGTACTGCTGTGATTGAGGGACTGGAGCATCTCCCGTATGAGGAAAGGCTGAGAGCGCTGGGACTCTTTAGCCTGGAGAGGAGAAGGCTGAGGGGAGACCTTATTACTACCTACAAATATCTAAAGGGGGGGTTGGAGGAGGATGGAGCCAGACTCTTCTCGGTGGTTCCCAGTGACAGGACGAGGGGCAATGGGCACAAGCTGGAACAGAGGAAGTTCCTTTCCAACACACGGAGAAACTTCTTTACGGTTGGGGTGACAGAGCAGTGGCACAGGCTGCCCGGGGAGGGGGTGGAGTCCCCTTCTCTGGAGGTTTTCAAGCCCCGCCTGGATGCAGTCCTGAGGGATGTGCTCTGGGCAGTCCTGCCTTAGCAGGGGAGTGGGGCTGGGTGAGCTCCAGAGGCCCCTTCCAACTCTGAAATTCTGTGATTCTGTGTGAAACGCCTGGAATGGTTGCCTGTGCTTCCATTTGCCTAGCAGAGCGCTGGGGGGAGATTTCTTTGCCTTCTTGCTAAACACAGAGCCTGCCAATGGTAAATTAGTGAAAGATTTTGTTTATCTCGACTTGAAAACCTGGATCCTCGCTCGTAACTGTGGCTTCTGAGTTGTGTTTCCAAGAAGTGCTTGCTTTGGGAGCCTGCAAAAGCTGTTTTGTAACAGCATTTTGCATTAAAAACGTCGGAGAAGAGAGCTTAACCATAGGAGCGTTTCTGATCAGACAAGCTGTAGGTGTTTAGAAAGCAACGGTGGAAATGCCCCAGTACAGCTCTTGAAAAGGAAGAGTGTTGCTCCAGCCTTTTGATGTGACAGTCTGCTGTCACTTGCAGCTGCTGTCACCAGCTATACGTTGACTTTCTCGTTCTTTAAATCCTCCATGAAGTTCATCTGTAGACTTCTAATCACCTTGCAGTCAGGCTGGGAGTTTTAGAAAATAATTGCGGATTCGAATTTCCGTCGGGTTGGGTGCGTGCTTCTGCCAGCGAAAGCTGGAGCCCATTGATTGCCCCTGAGGCTGCTCATCCTCTGGGCAGCGGGCTGCAGGAGCAGGGTGGACCTGAGCCGGTGCTGGTGGCCTTTCTCCTCTGCTGTCCCGATAGCTCATCCTCCTTAGAAACCTTGGGAGGGCAGCAGGGGGTGTCTCTGCCGCTCTGTTGCACGCCCGCTCCGTGCCTACCGTAGCACAGCGTGTTCGGCACAGCTCACCGGCCCCTGCACAGTCAAGTGAGTGGCGCCCATTAAACAGACTCCAGATATTTCTTGGATTAAATTGCACGTTTTATAAAAGTAAATTGGCTCTCATATTAACTTCTTGTTTTAATAATTGCTGTTCCACATCCTTACATGCCGATTTTGAAATGCTTCAAGAGCCATTTGCTGCTTATAGATTTCTGAAGAGACAGATGGTTCCATATGCTGATCACACCTACTGACACAGCCAGACAAAATACCAAAGCATAAGGAATCCCATGTGGACGTTCCAAATAGCACAAAACCTTTTGTTTGAAAGTTGCAGCATCTTAAGAGAAACAAAACCCACCCTCCAATCCACCCCCTCAAATCAACCAAACCCACACGTGACCAGCAGACTTTCTCTCCTCGAGTCCCCAGTTACTGCCAGTTCCCCGGTGGCTGTTGGAGAAGGAGATAACTTCA